ATTCTTTTAGGACAGTTTTTGATAAAATGACCCTCATTTAGACAATAGAAACACTTCTTTCCTTTAGTCTTCGTTTTCATTTTATCCTTTGGATTTGTCTTTTTCTTGTGTCCAGGTTTTTTATTAAAGTTCATAGTCTTAGGATTAGATCTAGTCTTGGCCATCAAGTTCTCCCCATTGATAGATTCTTTCCTATCAGACTTTAACTCTAACTCCTTATTTCTTAAAGCATTAATAATAACTTCAGTGGTTAGAGATTCCCTCCCATATTCAATTGCATTTTTAACATCTTTATACTTATCACTTATTGAATTTAACAAGATCACAGCCAACTGATCTTTTGAGAGTTTCTCATCACAGTTGGCTAGGTCACGGGATAATCTATTAAATCTATCAATATTAGCCTCAAGGTCAAGAGATGAGTCAAGTTTAAAACCAAAGAATTGTTTTAGAAGATACACCTTATTTGGCATAGATTTAGTCAAGTATGTATCTTCCAACTTTTTCCACAACTCAGCAGCAGTCTTAGTCTCACCAATTTCACGTAATACGTTATTTGATAAATGCAGAAAAATTGAACTCCAGGCAATTTCATCAAGTTCAAATTTTCTTGGTTTCTTCTAAATCATCAGGCCATGTTTCATCAATGGCTTTAGCACACTTTTGTTGTAACAAAATTGCCCTCATTTTCTGGCGCCAGAGACTGAAGTCTCATTTGCCATTAAAAACATCCAATTCAAATTTTGTATTTGTCATTTTAAAAAAAAAAATTGAATGTAGTTTCAGAATGTACAGATCAAGTAGACACTTCACAGTTATTTACAACTCAAAATAAATTCAAGTATCACCACTCAAGGGACATGAATATACTGTAATTATAAGTTGTAAAGTACTCCAGTTATTTCACAGGGATTGTTCAAAGTCTAAGAGTCACAACGTGTTTTTCACAACACAAATTACATTTGAGCAGCAAGAACCAAGATCATACGCTAATCAGTATCACAACAGTGTAATAATATCAAGACCTTTGACTTATGTCAAGGTAATCCTCAGATTCCAGAGAACTCTTAGGGTTTCTGGACAAAGGAATTACCAAGGTAGTCGCAGATCACGAGATTAAATCACAGTAACAGCAGCTCAAAAAATTTATACAATTAATTTGCAGTATTAATCGTAAAACTAGAACAATCTCACCAGATCCCTTCAATAGGGTTTCAAGAAATAACGAAGGTTAGGAAAAGCAAGTGTCACAGTTTCAGATCTACACGAGTTAGAGTCAAGAACCTCCGTCCGAATGCTCTGATACCACTGTAAAGAGGAGGTTCCACAATATTAGATTTAATCAACAAAGAAAAATACACCAAGGCAGTAACAAGATAAAAGTATTAAAGCACAAAATCAGAGATCTCATTTAAGATGCCCTAAGGCAGTAACAAGATGAAAGATTCGGCCAATGAATAAGATGCTTCTTCCACCATCAGACCACTGTGAGTGTTAATCACACACCAAGCCTTAGATATTAGGGTATTTTCGCACTCAGACCAAAGATCACCCAAGATCATAGAAGATACAATCTTCTCACTTCACAAATCGGTTCACACAAGAACACAGTACACTTCTCAATGATAATCACTCAAGATTACAAAATCAGTTTTGAGCAAGTGTTGAAAATCAAGAAGATCGTTGATTTTCAGAGAAGAAGAAGGAGATGAAACTCGAACGGTCAAAGTAAAATGAAGAATCTAGAAGAATGAAAAAAAATCAAGCGTCTCAAACCCTAGGACTCTCCTTTATATGAGTCACCAGATGGTCAAGCATCCAACGGTCAAGGAACTGACACATGGCATCATCATGAAGGTCCAAAAGGAGAAACACGGTTTTAACAAATATAAGTGCGTTTTTTGTTTAAGGGATTAGCTAACACGTTCAAACAGCAATTAAAAGGTCAGCTGATCAACTCACACTAATAGCATCATTGTGCCATACCCTTTCATGGTTAAAATGCAGTCATTCATTATTTGAGAGAAAGGTTGGAATGAATTTTTAAAACTCAGGCTACATTCAGCAAATGTTGTTTTCTTTCCACTATGCCATGTTGTTGCAGTGTTTCAACACAATTCCTTTGGTGAATAATCCCTTTTTTTATTGAAAAGGTCTGTCATTTGGAACTCTGCACCATTGTCACTCTTTAAAACCTTAATTTTGGTCCCAAATTGATTCTCAACAAGGTTACAGAAAGACTCAATGTATTGTCTAACTTCATATTTGCGTTTAAGTGAGTAAATCCAAGTACTTGAAAAGTCATCATCAAGTGTTGATAAATATGTGGAACCATCATATGCCATGGTAGAACATGGTCCCCAAATGTTACAGTAAACTAGTTCAAATAGATGAGAAGACATATGCCTCCTAGAAGAGAAGGAAAGACGATGGTGCTCAGCTAAATGGCAAACAGAACATGGGATTGCATTACTATGGATATCACTATCCCTTACAATATGATCATTAATCAACTTGAGTCTGAAATAAGAAATATGTCTTAAATGATAATGCCAAAGATTAGATTCATGAACATTGCAAAACTGTAGTTTATAACTGATAAATGCATTTTGTGCACTTATTCGGATTACATAACTAGGTTTTTATGTCGTCAAATTATTAATTCTTACCTAACTTGTGTTAATTTTCTTTTATTTTTAGTTAGGGACTCGTTCGAAGCCCTTGGAAAAGAAAGAATGATGAAAATGAATGAGATGAGCGAGTTTGGAGATCAAATTCAACACTTTGGAAATTGAAGGGCATAAATTGAATTGAAGAAGACATGGGCTACATGACTAAAATCCATTAATTGGAAAAAATGATGCCTTGATGAGAAATATCTAATTGGACTCCAAACCAATTTGAAAAGTGATATAAGTTTAATTGGGCCCAGACCAATTGTGATGGAATTGAAATTTGGCCTCATAATGGGAAAAAGTGGGCTGCTTGTTTGAATTCAATTGGAAACAATACAAGGTGGTGGTTGGAGGCATATAAATTACGCACATGCTAGGTTGAAAGTAGGGTAGAGAGAAAACGACTATATATACACGCACAAAAACGGGGGCCAAGGAGGGACGACTGAATTGATAAAGTCGGCAGCTGCTGGTGGGAGATTAATTGTGGTAGCAAGGGTTGATTTTCACATATATATACCAACAGAAATTAGAAAACTTAAGTGGTGGAATTAATAATTAAACCAACTGCTGGGAATTAATTGTTGGGTTGCAAAGTGAGTTGAATTATATATTTGTACATCTGCCGAAAACGTCTCACGCATAGGAAAGAGAAAAGGAGGCTGGAATTAAATATATATACACACAATTGGGGAATTGCTGGAATTCAATTGGAAATAAAATGCAAGGTGGTGGCTAGGAGATATATATATATATTACACACATGCTGTCGACAGGAAAGAGATGAGTCAAATAGAGGAGAGACAGAGGCATATAAGTGGTGGTTGGAATTGGACTTCTAAAGGAACAAATTCGACAGCTGTTGTAGAGAAAACAGAGACATTCACAAGACAGTGAAAGACGGCACACGCAATTGGAATAAATCACGTTCCGTTAATTATTGGTGATGTCGTTCCACTTCTCTTTGTTTAATTTTAACATTATGTTCGGCTAGATTATTTTGTGTTGGGATTTGCGATGAACCTTATATTATGAACCCTTAATCTTGAATTTTATTTATTTGACGTTAAAACATGTTTTTAATTATTGAATGATTGACATGGATTTTATTTTCTCTACAATTATGTGCGCAATAGTTGTATGAGATTTGTGGCTTGTTTTACCCTCGAGAGATGGAAAATAAGTTAGACATTATGTTAATTGTCGAAAAGTTCGATAGGGGATAGAAATATACCGCTATATTTTACGTGATCTTTAAGTATTCATAAATCTTTAATACATTTTTATATGTTCGCATCCGTCATAGAAATATAGTCGAATCGCATGTGAAAATAGGTTTTATTCTACTCGAGAGAGAATGTTAAACAAATTAGAAATATTGATCTTCATAATTGAATCATGTTGTCAATTTTATAAAATTCGGATTAAAGGGGATTCAAGATCCTAGTACGTATTTCGTTATCATATTTTTATAAAACTTGCATTTAGTTATAATCACGCATTAAATTTAATTAATTTAGGCTTTATATTTATAAGTAGGTTATTAAATCATAATTTAGTTAGCGAAAATATCAAGAATTTCTATTGTTTCGATTAAGGTGAAGATAATTTAAATTTAAACTAATACAATTTCTGTGGAACGATACTTAGACTCAAAAGGTCCACTTTATTACTTGAACGTGACCCGTGCACTTGCGGTGTAAGATTTTAGCAAACAAGTTTTTGGCGCCGTTGCCGTGGATTGTATTTTAGTTTAATTTCATTTATCTTGGCACTAATTTGAACTTATTATTATTATTATTATTATTATTATTATTATTATTATTATACGGTTATTTTAGCACTTTTATTTTCTCTTGTATTTTATGCGAAATTCGAGGGACGCTGAATTGATACCAACTGATCCAGAAATTGAATGTACTTTTCATCGTAGGCAAAGAGAAGCGAGAGAAATAAAACAACAAGAGATGGCCAACGGACAAAATAATCCAATTATTCAAGTGAACGAAGAAGCAGTGGTTAATGAAGGGAACATGCTAGTTGGGGACTTCATGACTCCACAAATTATTCAAGGCCAATCTAGCATCGTTTATCCTCCGTTTGGACAACCAAACTTTCAGCTGAAGACCAATGTCATTCATTTGTTTCAAAATGGACATCAATTTTATGGCAAGGCCAATGAAAATTCACATACACATCTCCTGATTTTTAGAGATGTGTCAACACTTTAAATATCAAGGGGTTTCAAATGATGCGATTAGATTGAGATTATTTTCACATGCTTTAAGGGATAGAGCGATGAATGGTTAGATTTACAGTAAAAGCATGGTGGGCTCATCATCCAGTGGCTCGTTATCTATGAAGACAATTGATGAAGCTTTGGAATTGTTTGAGAGAGTGGCTATTACCATAGCCATGTGGGCCTCTGAGCGTGTTGTTCACAAGAAAGTACCAGGAGTTTACGAGGTGGATACGTATACAGCATTGTCTGCAAAAATTGACTCTTTGGTTCATAAGATAGAGAACATGTCACAATCAACCAATGCAGTACAGGCAAAAAGAGCAAGTTGTGAAGAATGTGGGACGGATCACAGTACAGTAAATTGTACAATTCTTATACAAGGTACGGAACAAGTTGACTTCATACAAAGGGGTCAGTGCCAACAAAATAATCCATATTCTGATACCTACAACCCTTGCTGGAGGAAGCGCCCGAATATTTCCTGGAGCAATCAGAACCCCACTGCACCACATGGTTCTCAGTTTCAGCAAGCAGAGAAGAGAATTTCCTTGGAAGAGATGTTTGGTAAATTCATGGAAAAGACAGATCAGTACATGGATGTGAATAATCAATTTATGAGGAAGATTGAGACAACTCTCCAAAATCAAAGTGCTGCAATTAAAAACTTGGAGACCCAGATGGGACAAATGGCACAAGCTTTATCAGGCAGAGAACATGTCAAAGCAATTACTACTAGAAGTGGGGTCCAATTACCTGAGTTCCATGTTAAGAGGCCAACTGTAAATAAGGAAAAAGTACCCTCTACTGATGAAGAGCATGCAGAACAGACTGAACAAACAACAGATACATCTATCAAAGAGAGTTCAAATACACCACAAGTTAAGGCAACTGCTCCTATTAAACCATATGAGCCGTTAATTCCATTTCCTCAGAGGCTGCAAAAACACAAATTAGACAAGCAGTATATAAAATTCCTTGAGGTCTTCAAAGAGCTGCACATCAACATCCCTTTCGCGGATGCTCTCGTTCAGATGCCTAGTTACGCAAAATTCTTGAAAGATATTTTATCTAACAAACGCAAGCTAGACGAACATGAGACTGTAATGTTGACAGAGGAATGTAGCGCCAGCATAAAAAAGATGCTACCTCCCAAATTAAAAGATCCAGGGAGCTTTACTGTACTTTGTACTATAGGCGATTATTATTTTGATAAAGCTTTATGTGATCTAGGTCCAAGTATTAATTTGATGCCATTATCTATGTTTAGGATATTGGGCTTGGGGGAGGTTAAAGCAACTACAGTGACTTTACAGCTAGCTGATCGGTCTATCACGCACCCAAGATGAATTATTGAGGATATCTTAGTGAAAGTGGACAAATTCATCTTCCCAGCTGATTTTCTTATTCTTGACATGGAGGAGGATAGGGATATTCCACTTATTTTGGGTCGACCATTTTTAGCTAACAGTAGAGCCCTTATTAATGTGCAAAAAGGTCAACTGATTTTGAGACTTGGTGAAGAACATGTCACGTTTAATGTGTTCAAGGCCATAAGATATCCAGCAGAGTCAGACAATTGCTTTCAGATCGATGTGATTGATAATGCAGTAAATGATACGTTTCAGTTGCATAATCTACCAGATCCATATGAGGCATGCATTGTACACTCTCAATCTACTCAATCTGATTCTAATGAGATTGAAATATGTGCAAGAAATCTTGAGGCTAATCCTCCATATAGGCGCAGACCACACTTTGAGGAATTAGGCACTGGACCTACAAAGCCTTTGCCATCAATTCAGAGGCCCCCTGAGTTAGAGATCAAGCAGTTGCCATCTCACCTTCGTTATGCCTACCTGGGAAAATCTTCCACATTGCCTGTTATTATTTTAAACTCCATTAGTAAGCTTGAAGAAGAGAGATTGCTAAGAGTACTCAGAGAAAATAAAACAGCTATTGGATGGTCTATTGTCGACATAAGAGGGATTAGCCCTACAATCTGCATGCATAAAATTCTCATGGAAGATAATTTTAGAACAAGTATAGACAGCCAAAGGAGACTCAATCCAAATATGAAAGAGGTAGTCAAAGCAGAAGTTTTGAAACTTTTGGATGCAGGGATCATCTATCCTATCTCAGATAGTGCATGGATTAGTCCTGTTCAAGTTGTGCCGAAAATGGGAGGTATTACTGTAGTGAAAAATGAGAAGAATGAATTGATTCCCACCAGAACTGTTATGGGATGGAGGGTATGCATTGATTATCACAAACTCAACACTTCTACTCGAAAGGACCACTTTCCCCTCCCATTTATTGATCAGATATTGGAAAGGTTAGCATGTCACTCCCATTATTGTTTTTTTTATGGATGCTTCAGTTATAATCAGATTTCGATAGCACTCGAGGATCAAGAGAAGACTACGTTTACTTGTTCTTACGGCACTTTTGCTTATCGTAAGATGCCATTTGGTCTATGTAATGCTCCCGCCACATTTCAGCGTTGCATGATGGCCATCTTCTCTGATATGGTGGAAAGATTCATAGAGGTCTTTATGGGTGATTTCTCAGTTTTTGGTTCTTCGTTTGATGAATGTCTTGAACACTTAAACTTGGTCTTGCGGCGGTGTAAGGAAATAAATTTGGTACTAAACTGGAAAAGTGTCACTTTATGGTACAAGAGGGCATCGTGTTGGGACGTCGAATTTCAGCTAAAGGGATTGAAGTGGACAAGGCAAAGATTCAAGTTATTGAGAAATTACCACAACCAACCTCAGTCAAGGGTGTTCGCAGTTTCCTTGGTCATGCTGGATTTTATCGGCACTTCACCAAAGACTTCTCTAAGATCATTAAACCATTATGCAATCTGCAAGTCAAGGATGTCCCTTTCAACTTCTCTGAAGAATGTCTATTGTCTTTCAACACTTTAAATGAGAAGTTAATTTCAGCGCCAGTAATTGTTGAACCAGATTGGAGTTTGCATTTTGAACTAATGTGTGATGCAAGTGACTACGCAGTGGGAGCAGTATTAGGACAACGATGAGATAAAAATTCTCACGTGATCTATTATGCAAGCAAGACATTGAATGATGCACAGCTCAACTATGCCACCACTGAGAAGGACCTTTTAGCTATAGTCTACGCCTTTGATAAATTTCGATCTTATCTTGTTGGATCAAAAGTAATAGTTTATACAGATCACGCAGCTTTAAAGTATCTAATGACAAAGAAAGATACAAAGCTAAGACTAATCAGATGGGTATTTCTTCTGCAAGAATTTGATTTAGAGATAAGAGACAAGAAGGGAAGTGAAAACTTAGTAGCTAATCACCTATCCCGATTTGAGCATCGAGAACAGGAAAAGTCAGTGGACATAAATGAGATCTTTCCAGATGAACAGATTTTCAATGTAGAGGATGTGCCTTGGTATGCTAATATAGTGAATTATCTGGCCAAATCTATTATTCCACCAGACTATTCAAGTCATCAAAAGAAGAAATTCTTTTCTGACTTGAAGCATTATTTTTGGGAGGACCCTATTCTTTACAGGCACGGTCCAGATCAAATTATTAGGCGGTGTATTCCTAAAGAAGAGATCCCTCAGATACTCGAGCAGTGTCATTCATCTGCCTATGCTGGACACTTTGGCGCATCAAAAATTGTCGCTAAAATTCTACAGTCTAGTTCTACTGGCCATCGATATTCCAAGATACATTTGAATTTGTGAAGAGGTGTGGTAGATGTCAGCGCACGGGAAATATCTCAGGAAAGAATGAGATGCCTTTGAATAGCATTCTGGAAGTAGAATTTTTTATTGTGTGTGGTCTTTGAAGCCTATCCAACAGAGTTTTCAATTTTCCACACTCACAATCAGGAATAGGATCATACATTGAGAATTCAACCCACAAACATTTGAGCTTTCCATAATAAACACTAACAGAGTCATGTTCCTAAACCAAGCCAACTAAGGCCTTCTTTATTTGAAAAATTACAGGTCCATTTTGTTGTGTATAGCTGTCATGTAATTCTATCCAAAGCTCTAGAGCATCATCCATAAATATCAAGGAGGGCCTGACTAAACCAGTTACAAAATTTTGAATCCATGAAACTACCAAGTTATTGCATCTCTCCCATGCATCATAAAGGGGTCAGTAGGATCTGCAAGTCTAGTGTATTTTCCATTGATGAACCTAACCTGTTATTGGCTCTAAGGGCTCTTGTCATTGCTCTAGACCAAGACACATAGTTTTATGTGGTTAAAATATCAGTTACTAGAGTGACAGCAGGGTCATCACCATTCTTCAACCTATAAGGGTTGGTGACATCATTGAAATTAAGGAAACGAGAAGGAGGGTTAGTTTTGGGTGACTTATGAGTGGGTTCATTTTTAAATGATGATTTTTTCTATAACTTATCACCCAAGGATAATTAGTTCTCAGATCTGCTCTGATAGCATGTATAGAAACATGATTTAGCATAAATGTAATGAATGAAATGCAAAAGAAGAAGAAGAAGCACTGAACATTTTATCTGCCTTTCATTTCAAGTTGCATTATTTAATTGAGTGTAGAGCAACATATATACACGAAATGAAATAACAAACTCCTGGCTAGCAACTAGCTACACATGCTTTTGCCTCCTACTATACAACACACAAGGACACCTCGGTTGGACACCGCAGTAGAAGCAAAATAGAAAAACTAACTACAAACTAATTTCCTCTACCTTGTACAAAGGAGAACGACTAGTCATTTTCCAAATTTCTCTTTGCTTTTGCACCAGTTGTAGCATGAATTATCTTTTCATCATCATTGCTTGACACTTCATGCAAAAATATGGAATACTATCAAGGGTGGTGGAAGTTGATTTTCTTCTCTCTCTTTTTTTCTCCTTTTTCTTTTATAGTTTTGGGTCTTCTCTTCTATATTTTTTTTATATTTAGAGAAAAAAAGAGAGGTAAGTCAAAGAAAGTAACTTCAAAAAAGTGTGAAGACATGTTCCTAGGAAAAACCTAACAATTTCCATCTATTTTGCCTAATGTTGTAAAAGTCGTGACTTAAGAGTACTCAAAAACTTAGGAGCATGTTTGGCTATATTTAAGTTATTTATCAAAGATAATTTCCAAACTCACCTTTATAAATACTATCCTTCAATCGCAATAAATATGCACGAGTAGTTTTTTTTAAATGTAAGTAATATTTGATCAATTAGACGCTAAGGTAATGAATAGGCTAATTATATTTGTTGACCTCCAAAAAGTGCCAACAGATGTCGTTCGAAATGATGTACACATGGACATATTCATCAATATGTTGATTATAAGCTTAAACACGTGTTCGATTACTGATCAAATATTTTCAAAATAAGTAAGACATACACTTGTTAAAAAGAATAAATGGGACAATGAGTGAGTTTATTAGAGAGAGAAATGCAATGCTCTTTTTATGTCTGGAGATCTATCCACATAAAATGTTATAAGCTGCTATTTATAATAACCAAGCCGACGTGGACACTGTTGGATCACATCCACGTGGCCTCATTTGTTTGACCTTGGTGTCGCGTCATCATATCTCATATTAATTACATTGACAGGCAGTTGACAAAGGGTCGGCTATCTTACATTCCTAGACTGACATTTTTGACATCTATTTAATGAGGATGTCACATCAATCAATCCTAAAGATACGCCTATCAGACCCTTTTCTGGGTGTTGTGGACTTCGAATGTGAAGGGGTTCGACAGAAAGGAGAGAAGTCATTTCGGTTGAACGACGAGAAAGAGACCACTTCAAAGAACTTCAGTATTATGACCTCGGTTGTTGATGAAAGCACTTCTATAACCCTTTCTTTACCCTTGATTAAGTGTCACGTGTATGAACACAACAATAGCCTCCCAAGTCTATGTATAGTCATTCATGTAATAATAGAATTTATATTAAAAAAAATTTGGTAGGGGTGATAATTTAATTGCATGGGAGAATTTAATTGCATAACAATATAGTCCCCCAAGTCTAATTTACGAGTATTTATGTAAAAATTAAAGTTTACGATTTCCCAAGGTACCCTCGAGACTAGATATTGGAAAAACTTATCAAAAGTGGCTCTAAGTTGTTCCAAGGTTATCACTATGCGTGTATACCGAAGTGATGAGGCATAAAGTCGAAGTGATGTGCCTAGTTGATGCAGGCGGGGTTATAAGAAAAGTTGGATAGGCTGTACAAGTTTGATGTCGGGGGCCCGAGGCGTCATTGAGCGCCTCAAAAATTCCTTCTATTGTAGACATCTCTCACCTAGTAACCCTTCGGGAGAAATACTGCATACCAAAGGGCATGTAAAAACACAAGGCAAATATATCATAATAACGCAAAGTGACAAGTGCAAATTTGTTGCAGAAGTACCTCTTCTGGCCATCAAGTTAAATTCTTCAAAATATCATTTGGAAATGACGAGCATCTCGAAATCCCTTGAAGAAGCCAGACGCAAGTAGATGTCCTTTATAAGCTCAAGTTCCGACGAACTGAGCTCAAATCTATCAATTCCTCTTGCAGAAAAGAACACAACATCATAGACCACATCAAGATAATCACTCAATGAAACAATAAGGTACCACAATCACTAGCTTCAGAGTAGGACGTTGGAACTATCATATGGGAGACAATGTCACCCTCGCACACCTACCACTTTTCCCTTGCCCAAAACTACGTCTCCTTCTACCCTTTGATGGAGGAGGGAAAGTCAATAACAAATGGGGAATGTGACCCTCAAGGACATAGGAAGTACCACCCTTTGGAACCTTTTACCTAAAGACCTAGGCTGGAGGAGGGTCTGAAGTATTTGAAGAGACATGTCCTCGCCTAATAAGGTCTCCTTCCAAAGGAAGTAGGACCCCACCAATTGAGCCCAGGCATTTGGAACGAACTAGGTAAGAGCCAGTCTGTATAACCTAAGAACAGTTCTAAAAAAAAGGTGTAACAACAATCGAAGTCGGAATCACTAGTCAATCCTATTTTGGATAGGGGCAGTTGACAATTTAATTCAACTCAACTGAGTGTGCGTATTACCTGAGGTCGAGATGCGTAGCAATCAATATTCACACAATGATTTTTATTTGTTGCTTCACATTTTAATTGCACTTAAGGTATTCAAATATTTGTTTATTATAAAACTTAAGTCCCTATTATTTTCTTTGAGAATTCACATCTTTAACCTTTTATTAATTAACACTTTCGATCCTTGATTATGATCTTTCAAAAGATTTTGTTTGTGTGCTTTGAAATAAGAAAAAAATATTTTATCGCACTTTTTTGCTTGTTCTGTCTTGTGAAAATATGATGAACAATACAGCATTTTTCATCCTCCAAATAAACTTTTTGGATGTTAGCGCTGTAAATAGAAGAATAAGATAAATATATATGGGGCAAAAAAAAAAAAAAACCAAGGACACAAGGATAATTACAATGAGAAATGATCGATGATTATAGTATAAAAATTATTACTCAAACAAATGCAGAGTGTCGTAGATTGTAATTTTGGACAATAAGAAAGTCTACTGTCCACGCGTCAGCAATCCAACGGCCGGCCCGGTTCGGACGGAATCTTTATTCAACGTTTCTTTTTTCCTGCAGTTCGTTCGTCCCTTCAATCACAGTATTCCAAATAATTTCATAATAATCTCCCGCAAAACGTTTACCTAAAATCCGAGCTATAATAATACCAAAATCTCTAGCCATATACGAAAAGAAAAACGAAATCCCTTTGATTAATAGTACGGATATGAAATTACAAAGTCTTTTTATTGGTCTAATATCAGGGTTGTTGCTATGGAATCGGGTGGAGTCGATCCAATTCGATCTGGAGTTGGGTCACACCAAATGCATAACGGAAGATATAAAGAGCAATTCCATGACTGTCGGGAAGTACCACGTTGTTAATCCCAACGAAGGCCACCCTTTACCTGACACTCATAAAATAACTGTTCGGGTAAATATAATTCAACTGCTTTTTCCCTTTTTTTTTTCCCATTAATCTAACTGTCTGTTTTAGTTCGGTAAGGTTTTGCTAATTCATAATTTAGCTCTATGAAATAAGGTTTGGCTAAAGTTTGAGTTAACTTAAGAATTAAAGTTTCAACCTTTCAAATTAAAATACCATAATACATATTGTAACTTGTATTTTAATGGTATGACTGTGGATGTTAAATTTATTCCTATAAAAGGGAGTGATTTTCATTGAGATAGATAATATGAGAAATCATAACTTGAAAAAATAACCACATTTATATTTCATAATATTTTCCTATATTTTGGCAATTTGATACAGTCTCATTCTTTATCTTCGTATGGTCGTGCCCATAGAAGGAGAACCGACTCTGAGATAAATGAATTTTATTTTGGAGCCCTGTAGTACCGAAAGCACTCGCACGACTTAGAAGCAACACAACTTTAAGATACTGTTTTTGAGATGACTCTCAAGGCTTACATTTATAACTCTTTTCTTCTTATGTTTATATTATTATTGAATTGTATTTGTTATTTTATTATGTTAATCGAAAATTTATCTATACACAAATCACCCATTTTTCCCGACAATCTAAAGTCGTGTTTGTGATTATGTGTGAGAGGTGTAATATTTAAGAGGTTTACTTGAAGTTTGTGTTAGTATTGCCAGATTATCTCATTATGCCTTGGACTTGATTTGTTAAATTTTTAGATTTCAGCAAGTTGATTAATCACGCATTATTCATGTTATCTCTGTTTTCTTTATACATTTACAAGTGAATGATTAAATTTTTAGATTCTCGACCATCTGGTTTTGGACTTTTGTAGAATGAGAACTTACACTGTCCTTATAAACATAGTTTGCAGGTGTTTTATGGTGATAGTAGAGAGTAGAACATTTTAAGTCTTTAAAGTACATATGGTCATTCTTTCGATTAGACCATTGATCCTTCTATTGATTATACCATTGATCCTTCTATTGACTGCAGTAGAAATTTTCTAACCGTTTGATTAGCAGGTTTTCACTTACACTAGATTGGTATACAAGTCATATTGCTCTCACTCTGACTCCTGTTTACTGGATAATTTTCGGGGGGCAATGCTCAAAATAGACTATGGTTATTTATAAATGATCCTTTTATCCCTTTTTGTTTATTACAATTATTATATAAACTCCTACTTGCATGTACATTAAATATGGCGTAAAAAGATCCCATTTTCTGAAGACATAAGGGATGGGAATGTTCTTTTGTTTCTTTTGATTATAATCTATCTTGGTTGGAAGTATTCCTATTGTTTATGCTCATTTCTTCCAAATGAAGTCATGAGTTAAGATTCCTAGGTTCATATAAACCTGCTCAACAAAAAAAAATTCTGATTTATAATGATTCATAAGTATCAACTATGATGCACCGACACGGACAAGTGTGTCCGACACGATACGTGTTGGATACGTCGAGTCGTGATTTTTAAAAAAAGTACTGACACAACACGTCGTCAACACATTCATTAAATTCTTTAAAATTCTTCATTTATATAGTTTAAATTTAGTTTTATAGTTATTATTACTTTTTTTGTTGAATTCTTTTGAATATGAATACTTATTTGTTATTTACTAATAACTTTGAGTTAAAAATATATAATCGTTATAGTAAGAAGGAAAATTGATTATTTTAGAGTGTTCGAAAAATATCGGTATCGACGCGTGTCCGACACGTGTCGGACACGGATACACTGCCCTAGATAGAGTGTTTGTGCTACATAGAGAATCAATACCCATGTTCATGTGTAATATGAAGAAATGATTTGGAATACATTGATCATGTGTTTATATTGTAAAGTAGCAAGGATTACTTTGGTGCTGACAGGAAGCAGCAGACCTAGTGTGGATAACTTCACTCTATTTTTACCCATTTTGTGCAAGCTTCATCATTCGTCGATTGGATATATTCTGTAATCTGTTGAGAGGGTAAAACAGACTGGAGGATGCTTCTTAATTATAAGGTCAAGCAATTGCTTTTTAATATGGATAAATCAGCAAAATTGCTTTTCCTATGAGAATTGACATTCTAGATTTAAGCATGAAATTAGAAGTCTTGTTTTACTGCAAGTATTACCTAAAACATTAGGCATGGCTTCAATAATTTGTTGCTTCAACATATATCTTGATGTTTGACATAAATTCTGATTTAAGCATGAAATCAAATGTCTTATTATTAATGCAAGAAAGAACCATTAAAAAAAAAGACCTATTCAGTGTTTAGCCGTGATTGATCTGTTGAAGAATTTTCATTGATATTAAGAGGAATTGTAGTCAGGTTATTCCTAAGGGTCATAAAGAACTAATATTAAAACTGGAAAAGATTATCCCTTGTGATAGTGTGTATATTATTATTTCATGCGTATCAAATTAAATGGTGAAACGAAATCTTAAGATTGTTAAAATAAAACTAGTATTTTGTCGTGCACATGAATTCATGGATTATATTGATTTTACGGGATTATATGATTTTATTTTAAACATACGGTTAAAAGATTTAACTATCAATAACGGGCATAATTAATATTTTAAAAGCGATGTAATTTCAAAATTAATCTATATAATTTTATTTATAGCCCAAGTGTAACCCCTGTGATTAATAGTGATTTTATTCTATTGAAATTTGTAACTTATAAAAAGTTTGAACTTTCAAAATTATAGTTTTTATTGTTTAAAATTTCAGTTTTCATTTAATACAAAACTTAAACAATAGGATGTAGGTTATGTATGGATTAATTTTCATTATTGTGGGGTATTTTTTTGTGTGTGTGTGTGTGTGTGTGTCTGTCTGTCTATTGCTTTCATAGAGAATTAATAAAAAATTAAAAATTATTTGAAATTCAAGGGAAATGGCACAATGTATCCGCTACTCAAGAAAATGGTGCCACAACTAAGATTCCTCTTTGAGAAAGTAACACTGCAATTTTTTCTTAGTAAGGGGATTTGATCATTCAGTTTCTTTCATTGTCATGGCTACCATTAATTGAACTTCATCTTGTGGATTTAAATGTGGTGTCATTTGTCATTTAACATACTTCTTAGAACAGATTTCGATTTTCAAAAACTAAAGTTAAAAGATCTGTTCTTCAAACAAAGAATATATTTGTCTGATCCTTGTAAAATAAATAGTTTGGAAATCAATTGAACTTCTCTATGTTGTGTGCTGTGATAACATATAGTTTTATCTTGGACATTGTTGAAGTTCAATATATCGATAATCAAAAGCATTTCCTTTGACTTCCTAAGTATCGGGTTATAGTGACTCGACGTTTGGTCTTGGAATGATTTTTTTGGAAATTGTTGAAGCACAGGGCAAACTAAAATGCGAAAAAAATTGGAAGCATTTCACTTTGAGAACAAATGTGTAACCCTTGAGGTTGGTAAAATTTTAAAAGGCTATCTAGTAAACTTATTTTTGTCAATTGAAGCCTTTTATTTATATCTTCCATAACTTTGATCCTTGTGGGAAATAAATGGGTAGATGTAAAATAATCCATATTTCAGTCATTAGTTAGTAATAAATTTTTGTTACTAACAAAAATGGAACATGAATACTTTTATTTAATTCTGTCTAAGTTATTCATATTTATTGTGACACTAAGCCCTCGTTTGACCCCCATTATTTGGATTTATAACTGGGGAATAGTGTTTTTTTGAAAATTATGTGGTTGAAAAATTTTTGATTTGTGTGTAATATTATTTTATTGAAGATTATGTGATTGAAAGTAGGAGGGAGAAAAAATTAAATTAAATTGAAGAGCTTTAAAGGGGGCTAATATTTTGTGAAAGTGTTTAAAAGTATTTGTAGACATGAAAAATTTCAAAGAAGCTTCACGTGATAGATATCTTTGGAATGTGGAGGTGTTTAATTTATATTTATTTTCTTAATTGTAAAATAACTCTTGAAAAGAGCTAAAAAGGAAATTGAAGATTACAGGCGAAATGCGAGAGCTCAATGGATGTATGTCAAATGTGTTACAAGAAATCAATATAAAAAATTTCATGATGTTGTCTTATTATAATTAAATATGTAATATTGACATTTTGAAAAAATTCTTATGTAACTTTGTAGATGTGCATGTATGCAGGAGGAGAATAAAATTCACAAATCGATGGTACCATATTATTGTCCAAGAGGCCATAAATAAATTGTAGTCCAAGATGGACATACATAAATCATCGAGGGGGTAGGCATAAGCCCATAAGGGATTCACCTTCGAGAGTAATCCAACTTTTGTAATTGGAGATTCCATGAAGAAAGTTCAATGTGGTAACAACAACCCGCATTGTGTGAGTTATAATAGCACTATTTTATTTGTGCTCATCCCTAAAGTGATAGTGATAATAATAAAATGTGATGTTATGAAGGGTTTAACTCTGATTGAGTATCAAGGTAAGAATTCTCACGAGGTGTGAATCACACACCCCTTTGGAAGACTCACATATGAAAGAGTTGTCATGAGGCATTGTCTATGGGATTGGGCTATTCCCTAGAGACTTAATAAAATCAAGATTAGGGCGTATTGTCATTAAGAGCGCTGCCCGCTATAAACTAGGGGGTTGTTTGAGCCTCATTGTTTTCAAAAAAATGCATTTTGAAATAGTGTTATGATAGAAAATTCGTGGTTAAACAATAAGTAAAAGTTTTGGATTTGCGTATAAGATTATTTTATTGAAAAATGTGTGGTTGAAATGGAGTTAAATCGTTGTTGAAGAATGTATTTTGATGAAATGGGGCTCAAACAACAGCTAGAGCCTAAATCAATACCGTGTGTGGAACAATTGAAGTTTGACCAAAGGAACCTGATTCAAGGCTTAGTCCATTATGGCTCCTTCAAATGAAAATTATTATCAATTCATCACTAAGTGAGGTTCAGTCTAAAAGACACCTACACCTATTATACAGTATAGCGTTGTCACTGTATATTATATATATTTCTTTATTTTGAAAGTTTAAAACTTGTGGGGAATTGTTGTAACATAAGAATTAAAGTTTTAACCTTTCAAATTAAAACCTTTTAATTTTCAATTTTAACATAAAATTTAAACACCATAATACATATTGTAACTTGTATTTTAATGGTATGATTATGGGGGTTAAATTTACCCCTATAAAAGGGAGTGATTTTCATTTAGATAGATAATATGAGAACCCATAACTTGAAAAAATAACCACATCTATGTTTTATAATATTTTTTCTATATTTTGACAATTCGATAAAGGCTCATTCTTTATCTTCCTATGGTCGTGTTCATGGAAGGAGAATCGGTTGTGAGTCGCATGAATTTTATCTTGGAGCCGTGTAGTGTCGAAAGTACCTGCACGAAGGGGAAGCAACATGAGTTTAGGACAAGGCCTTTGACGTGACTCTCAAGGCTTGCATTTTTAACTCTTTAATCTAAAATATATCTATACACAAATCACCAACTTTTCCTAACAATCCTATCATTTATTGTCATTGATATTTCGAGTTTCTTTCATTATCAAGGTCTATATGAAGACTTCTCTGGATTTTGATATTTTAGTTTATTTGTTTGTTTGCTTTCCTGGATGGAATAAAAGTTTCCGTTTTAATTGTTTTGTACCTTATAGGTGACATCACCTCATGGAAATAGCTATCACTACTCTGACCATGTCATCGAGGGGCAGTTTGCATTTCAAGCCGTTGAAGGAGGTGATTACATGACTTGCTTTTTCTCTGCTGATCATAAGCCTTCTACTACTATGACCATTGACTTCGATTGGAAATCTGGAGTGGCTGCCAGAGATTGGACAAATATTGCCAAGAAAGGTTCAGTTGAAGTAAGCACTCAATCTTCTTTGTTCTCTTTGCATTGCACTTGTGCATTTGTATATCGATTTTGCAAGTTGTATGATTTTTGTTTGTCACTTGTTTTTTGAATTTCATTAATGGGGTTGTTCTGAGGATTCATATATGCTATCTGCAAAGAAAGTTAAGTATGCACATTTTTATTAGATAGGAATTTTCAAGACTTGAAAACTGAATTTATTGTTTCTGAATCTATATCTCATTTGCCTGGGAAATGATATTTATTCTATCGATTGCATTTTATGGCTCTAGTTACTTCGATTTATAGAAATTGCTTGTGTTCTAAAATTATTTACTGGGCCTCTTGATTCGGGAATAGTGGATTGCATTGCGAAATAGGTAGTGGAGCCAGATAAGGTGCCTCTTTACAATGTTAATGACCGTTGTTCATGCACACATAGTCTCTATTGGGCTCATCGACCTCATCTAGAGTTGTTTACTTGTGTGCTTAATATGTACTTTATTAGTTTTCTATGTTTTGAGCTCATTAATACCCTTGCCGTTTCTTTGGTTTGTGACACTTTTTGAAGTTTTGAAGTCAGTTTTGAAGTTTTGGTTTCTCGGTACTTCTATGACTAAGCCCCCGTTTGTTTCCCATTATTTGCTCCTAAAAATGAAAAATATGATTGTTATCCATCACATTAAGCCAACAGATTTGACTTTCTATATCTTGTGTAGAGTCCGTAACGACTATATTTTTCATTCTCATTTTTACATTAATGCGTACCAAACAGGACCTAAATTTGACGTGTGGTTCTGGAAATTTCTTTTTGGAATTTGACATGAAATTGTTGTTAACAAATTAATCTTATGAGCCTCAGCAATTTATAGCTCTTACATAGATCTGCTTTTGCTCTGTCTGAACGTCTACGTCAAGGATTACTCTGACTGTAAATGCTAGATATTTTAAGAATCATTTTAGTATCTTTATATTTAATTGTTCAAGCTTCTATTTTAACTCTCCGTCTCACATTGATTTTGGAAAGATAGTACCAGTTTATAAGGACTTGGGTACCTCTTAGTTGTGACCTAGGAGTCAGGTAATTTTTACTTTGTCAATATGGATTTAAGCATTTTGTCTTGATTGGTCAGTACCCTCACTATGTTGGCTGGAAGGGTCTGATCAGGTCGTATTGGCAATACTATCCACTTCGACCAGCGTAGACTTTCTGGAGTGTGTTGTAGTCTATATATGGCATGACGGGTTTATAAGGACTTGAGTAGGTCCCACTTAAGAAAATGGGTCTACGGTTTTATGCAATTTGGGTCAATTAGTTGGTGCTTAACAATGTTGGCAAGGTTTGTGGTTTGAGACTGGACCTTAGTTTTGAACTGCCATGTTTTCTTTGCCTCTTTTGTGTGCTTGTATATCTTTCCTGTCGATTGAGGCTTTTGAGAATGATGAACTGAACTCACTCACTTCTCTGTTCATTTAATCTTTGTTTTCTCATGTCACCAGTTAATGGAATTAGAACTGAAGAAAATGTTCGACATTGTTCAATCCATTCACGACGAGATGTTTTATCTACGTGAAAGGTGAACAAAACTAAAGTTTTTCGTAAGAAATATAACTTCTGAAACTTCCAATTTTTCACATGCGACTGATGTTTATTCCAGGGAAGAAGAAATGCAGGAACTTAACAAATCTACCAACTCCAAAATGGCTTGGTTGAGTTTTCTGTCATTATTTGTATGCTTAACAGTGGCAGGATTGCAGCTATGGCACTTGAAATCTTTCTTTGAAAAGAAGAAACTTATCTAATATTTTTCTGTCTTTGTTTTCCTTCTGGCTGTTGTATGTTCAATTTTGCATTCACCAACATTGTTGAAAGAGAGAAGCTATATTCTTGATTCAATGTTAGTGCCTACTTGGAACGCATCCTAGGGTAAATCCCGTCAGGATACGTGGGTTGTGTCGTGTTTGGCTCTCCATGCACATTTAGACTGTTACCACTTTCCTTTCTTTCTTTCTTTCTTTTTTATTTAATTTTTTTTTTCCAGATGCCAGATACTCTGTAACTTATTTTTGAAATGCTTATAAGCACTTCTAATTTTTCGTTCTTGTAAACAGACTCGCACACTAAAATGCTTGTAAGCAATTTGAAAACGGGGTATGAAGGTTAGTTCTATATAGCTGTACAGATATGAAGGCGGTAAGTTCTATAAATACTAAATTAAAACAAAATGTAGAGCAACTTCGTTACTCGAGTGTTATTTAAATTCAATTCTTTCGAACTCTTATTATTGCTCTAAATGACTCATTTTAAACTTTCATATGGAAGTTTGAACAATCTAAAACTCAATTCAAGAGGACTTGTTCCCATTTGCCCTTGCGAGTTCTTTCTACTCTATATCACTTAACTCGTGGCCTCTTTTTTTTGTTGGGAATTTACATGCACAACAAAAAATTAAAACAAATTTCAATTCTTATCAAGGATCCCTTTGTATTTAGATAGAAATTGAACATTTTTCTAGATTTGTAAACTCTTTTGCTTTTCCTTTGTTCCATCAACCTTAATCTGTCACCCACAGCTGTTGAATTGTCCAACCTCTAAAGGTGATCCACAAAAAAAAAATTGTAGGATTGGAATTTTCTTCTTGTGTTAGCGAAAATAATGAATTATCTACAAATTGAAAACCCTAATCACTTATTTATATAATCTCAAACGGGCTTGGCCTGATTCAATCCAATATTTAATTAATTCATTTAATTAAATTCGATCCTTGAATTAACTGTCGGGCCTATAAATAAGCAATCAAATTAATTAATTTATCCGACGCTTATTAAATTAATTAATTGACAAATCACAATTTTCTAGTTCTCTTTTTGTGTGCAGCTCATCAGGTTCCAGATTATGATGTGAAATATTAATTGATAAATTAAAACACCATTTTAACTTATCACCAATTCACACTCATCATTTCATATTGACATCTAGCAATGTGTCGAGCAATACATGTGACGAAAAATGTCACGTAGTATGACAAAATCAAATTCGTTCGTTTATCGAGAAACTATAATCCCTTCGTCAATATGATTCGATTAATTACGAGATATGGAAGTGTGTCAATTTCGATTATTGATCATATTTTTCACTCCACTATAAAATCAATATACGTCGAAAACTCCTTTTCGACTTATAAGTACACCTTAATCGAGAATTTCGTTATCGACTTAATTGAATGAAATGCAGATCATAATCTCTTACTATCTAATAGTGACGAATCATCTATCGATCATTCATAACCTTCATACAATTCTTGATATACCCAAACGATGTCATATTAGTGGCCCTTGGCAGAGTAACATCCAACACTATCAAAGCACGACTGTCCTCGTATAAGGCACTTTGATGATGTTAAGTCAAAGGACAAATCCCACTATCGAACGTCAGAGATTAGCCACTGACACTCAGATAGTTATCCACTCTCGGCGAGTCTCCAATGTTTTGTTCTATAACAAAACATCCATGTATTTATTTAAGTGTTACTACATTTTAACTTGTGAGATCAGTTACTTACTTCACATGTAAGAAATGTCACACGTGATGATCTATTCGTAATAATGATATTCGTATATCGTCATTACTTACGATTACGAATGATTTAAGATTCAATCACATATAATTTGTATCTCACAATCACAATTTTTTGTGATTAACAAATTACTAAAATTTGAATCTACGAACTCCATTATTTAATTCAATTGAATATTAATTAATTAAATAATAAATCTACCATAAATCGCATCAACTATATATTAAAGCATTTATGTCCAAAGTCGATTGGACTTATGGTATATCACTTACAAACTCCCACTTGCACTAGATACAATCACTTATGTATCAATATCATAAGAAGCTACGTGACGATCATATTTCTACTGCGACAACTCTTTGTCAATAGATTTGCAATATTATTAATTATGGGCATTAGTTCTTCTCTTTACATCATTTCTATGTATTATCTCTTTGATGAAATTATACCGCCTTAATACATGTTTGGATCATTAATGAGATTTTAGTTCATTCGCTTGTGCGATGACCCTATTGTTATCACATGGGACATGATCAATAATATTAGGAACTATTCCAAGTTTATTAATGAATATCTTGATCCACATTGCAACTCATTGATGCTTCTGAAGCAATCATGTATTAAGTTTCTGCTATTAAACAAACAGTTGTTTCACGTTTGGAACATTTCCAACACATCGTTTATGAGTATAACAGTTTCTACATATAAAATCTTGAGAAGATTTTATCTATGTAGATTGAGATGAGTTAAGCAATCTTTTAAATCTATCTCTATAGATCAAGTTGCTTCTCCCATATCATTCATCAATAAATCTTTAAACAACTATTATTTCAACGATTGAAACATAAGGATGTCGTTTCTTATTCATAATATGTCTTAAGTATAATATTAAGAATGCTACAATACTCCCACTATTTTATTGTAAACGCACAATTCATCTTCACATTTGATAAAATCAAACCTTTTGATTTTTCCATTAAATCGAAGATTACAGTTCCAAGAAGCTTGCTTTAACCCATAGTCACGGAAGGTAACTATTGGAAACAAATTCCGAATAGATTACAGCATGGCTATAGGTGAAAGGTTTCATCAAGATCAACACTTAACATTTTGCTACTAGCCTTGCTTTGTATGATGGATATTCCCATCCATGTCGACCCTTTCCTCATAAACCATTTGCAACATATGGATTTTATCCCACCAGGAGGGTCAACCAAGGTTCAAACCTTGTTCACATACGTCGAGTTAATCTCAAGTTTCATGGCCTCTTGCTATCTCTTTTAAGTCAAGACTTGACTTTGATTTTGTGCAATTAGTGGATTCATCATTCTGGATCAACAATGCCTTATTAGTAATCATGGATTCGCACCTTCTTAAAGGTCAAATGATCATGCTAGATTCACACAGAGCTGACATGTCCTTAGGAGTCTCTACTTCGTGATCAAGAGTGTTCCACATCAGATATGGGATCAAACTTGTATCCATCTACTTGGTTAACTATATTTGTAGATTCTTGAACTCTTTCAAATCTTATTTTGCTTCTACTGTCCTCTCTTAGAGTGAACATTTTCTTTAAGATGACGATATGTCTTGAGACAAAGACTTTCTTTACAATGGGATAATAGAATTTATATTCAAATGTCTGTTTTGAATATCCCACAAATATGTATTTATCGAATTTAGTTTCAAACTTATCCGATTCAAGACGCTTTAAATAAGCGTCATGGCCCCAAACTTTCATATAAAATAAATTGGGACTATTGTTTTTCCATAGCTTATATGGAGTTCTATTAACAAATTTAGATGTGACATGGTTTAGTGTGCTGCACAATGCAACCAGTGCATGACCCCAAAACGATTTTGAGAGATTTGCATGGCTTGTTATTAATCGCACTATATCTAATAGTTAATGATTCCTCTTTTTAGATACACCGCTATGTTACAATGTATATAAAGGAGTCCACTGCAAGAGAATCTCATTTTTTCTTAGATAATTTAGAATTTCATCTTTAAGACATTCTCATCTCGATCGGATCTTAGTGTGAGGATATCTTTACTTATTTGTTTCTCTACTTCTAGTTTGAATCCCTTGAACCTTTCAGGAAGTTCATACTTGAATTTCATCAAATATACATGGCCATTTTTTATATATTCATCAATAAACGTGATAAAATAAGAGAAGTTTTATCTAACATTAATTAACATGGGTCTACATACATCACTATGTATTAGACCAGTAATCATGCAGATATTTCTTCATTTCAAATAAAATGAGATTTGGTCATTGTGCCTAATAGACATGATTTGCAGTTGTCAAATGATTCAAAATCAATTAACTCCACGCATATATCTCTATGTAATTTTGGAATTGCATTTCATCTATATTACCAAGTCTGCAATGCCAAATTTAGGTATTATTCAGATTATCGCTTTTATGTCTCTTAACTTTTATATTCATTATAGAATACTTAGTGTTTAGAATATGAATGTTATTTTGTAGCTTACCATAACCATTAAAATCTTTAATCAAGATAAGCAGAAACAACAATTGTCCTTAATATTAAAATAGTTCGTGTCTGAACATGAAATTCATTTTAATGTTCCAGTTATAGTGGATACAATACAACATTTCTCTAATTCCAATACTAAGCCAAAAGGCAACGACAAGAAGTATGCTCCTACCGACAATGCAACAACATTTGCTCTTCTTCAACGTGTAGGTCAACTTCTCCTTTTTGTAGTGGTCTACTTCTATTTAGTTTCTCCACATTATTATAAATATAAGATCCACATCTGGTATCAAATACCTAAGAAACTCATGAAGTAGAGGTAAGTCTTGCAATATTTCTTCCAATGACCTTTCATTAGATTTGATATTGCCTTCGCTTTAACCGTCTTAGCCATATTGGATGCTTTCCTAAAGCCCCTTTAAACTTCCTCTTAATATTCTTAGAGGAACCATTGGCTTGCCCACTTATAACTTTGATATTGGGCATAACATTCTTAAGTAGGTTAAGCAACTTAATGAGTGTACATTCGAGCTTATTCATATCATAATTCATAACTAGTATGAATAACTCTCTGATAGAGATTGCCGAGCTAAGTTAATACTTAGTTCGTAGTTCATGATTGAACTCAATTGAGACACTTCTCAATGTCATACATCTTCAGTAACTGAGCATTGATTTAAGATTCCTCTGTCATTTCGCATCAATATAGTTGCTTGAAAGTCTTATATCCTTTCACACATGATTATTTTCATACAACTCTTTGAAATGAAAAATCATGTGTTAACATCTATACTCTTAAGTTGCTTTTATAACTTAGGGGACGTAATGCAAACATCACACATGTTGTAGTACTATTGTTATCACCGCGTTTATTATAGCAACCACCTCTTTCCTAATCGAGTCATTGACAGATGTCTCTGGAAAGGACTACTCAAGGACATAACCAATTTTCTCATGCATGAGAACAATTTTCAGATTGCAATGCCAATCAAGAAAATTTGGTTTGGTTGTTGGCATCCAGTATGCCACTCAAATACACATGGTTACTCACGATTCAATAAATATAAATGACAAAAAAAAAGAA